TAGTTCCGTGAAATAATTCACGTCATAATCTTTGAACCAAAGAAAGATGCCGATTTCGAACAGGCCTAGAATCATCAGTAATTTGAAAATCGGACGCATTCTGTAGTTCTAAATCATTCTTGACTTTTGACTGAATATTATCCATGTTCATCAGATGAAACTATAGTTTGAATATTAGGTTTTTCAACGACTTCTAGAACTTCATTATTGGTAGACAAAACATCTATTGTAGCATAATCATCGTCGTCAGAATCATTGACATGTGCATCTAAAGTGTTTACATTATTTATAGTAATATCAACAGTGTTAATTAAATCTTTAAAACTTTCATTATGCTTTGCAGTTTTAAATTGAATACCTCTAACTGTTTCAATAAATTCAACAGAACGAGCTTTTATTAATTTATTGCCATCAACTGGATCACTAAGTCTGTAACCTTTAGTATGATCACAATATCCTAACATGGTTTTGATTTGGGATCAAGTTTTGTACACTAATGTTGTGGAGTAAGAGCAAATACTGTGCTACCAAATACTCGAAGACGACTGAGATTTACTTTATTACCAGTTCATAGCTCTTCAGAAGTAACTTTAGTCAAAGCAGCAGTTGGACTACGATTTTATAAATAACAAGCAGTGTTTACTGCTTCAGCCCAATATTTCTTATCCAAATTAGCGTCTTGCAACATAGTTCTGGCTTTTTCAACTAACGTCCTATTCAAACGTTCGGAAACGCCGTTTTGTTGTGGTGTATACGGAACAGTTGTTTCGTAAACAATACCGCATTGTTTTAAATAATATGTTTTAAACATATAAGGTATCTTTAATAATTCTATTAACATTATTATCTAAAGTCAAATTGACCATTTTATCATTGTTGGCAGTAGTAATTTCTTTAGGAGGTTTAGGAGAATAATTAAATATCCAGTCTTTGCTATTAGTCATGACTAGAACAACCTGAATCTATAATCCAGCTATGTTGATCACAGTTACTAACTTTTAAGGCAGTCTCAGTAGAAAAATTACAGGAATTGGTACTTCTTTTATTTGAAGGCGAAGCCTCAGGTTTCTTTGAGTTCTTTTTCAGCTTGGGACACTTCGGTTTAATGTGACCTTTCTGATGACAGTTGTGACAGATTGGAACAAATTTGTTTTCTGTCAACAAAATTTTGTCATTGTGTTCCAAATTGGAATTTGAAGAATTTCTCTTGAATTCACTTTGAATTAGCTGGCACTTAACAAAATCTGAATCCAGTTTCGATTTAGTGGCTTCCATGGCCATTATTAAAGAATCGAATTCAGCAGATAACCCTACTAGCATCAAATAGGCTAATTCGTCATCGACGTTGCAGCCAAAGTCAGCTGGTTCTTGAGTAATGGCAATAATATTTCCTAAATAGTGATCCATAGAATTGCATTTAATTTGCGAAAGTTTTCTTTTTAAGAGAAGTCTCCGACTTATGCCAGATTTTTCGTAGGTTGACTTTAGGTTTCTCCACGCATCTGCAGCTGTCTTTGCATTTCTTACATGTGGATAGCAAATGGGTTGTATATTCAAGCAAATTTTTGCGTATGCTTTCTGATCTTTTGAAGAATCAGCAGTCGCTTCTTCGGAACCAATTGCTACATTCCGTAGTCCATTGTCTAACAATAATAATTTCATTTGAAATTTCGACGTACCATAATTAGAATCACCTTCCAGTTTTTCTATAGCCATGCTTGAACCGCTGCTAATAACAATACAATACAATACAATACAAAAATTCTTTATTGTACACCAAAAAAGGAAACAGATACAATACAATTAAATTGAAAATAAGCGGTGGTACAATGGGCGGTCTTATCGCTTTAAGCGATTTCTGCCAGACAACCTTTGGATGGAAGTAATGATATAATTCTCAGGAAAAAGACGGCGGTGTATGAAGAATTACTAATCAACAGATAAAAATTGATAAATAAATGCAAATATACATATATTTATAAATAAATAATAAAACCAATACATATATATGAATATCGTAAACTACTATATATTCTTATACTTATAAATATAAAAATTTCTAAAACGTAATTTCAAAACATAAAAATACCTAAGCAGTCCAGGTCACACTAAATTAAGGTAGTGTACTTTTACCATATTTTTGAATATATTCAATGATTTCGCTTGTTGAATAGACAAGTGTGTGAGGAATGAATAAGATGCCATAGAGAAGATTAAGAATATGAGCATTCCGGCGAAGTCTAATGGGTAACCACTTCAGCTCATTGTGATAGATGGAAACATGATCAAATTTCCTCAGACCATAAATGAAACGGATGCAAAAATTTTGTAGACGTTTGAGTTTGTTGAGCTGTTCTTCGGTTAAATCCAGATAGCAGGCATCAGCATAATCAAGAATTGGAAGAAGAAGAATACAATAACAATGTTATTCAAAAAAGAAATGTTTTGCGTCATTTTCGTAAAATTATATTTTCCGAAAAAAATTAAAATTTATAATATCACACAAAACAAAAGCCCTAATAAAAACATGTAAACTAAACTTGTCGAACTATTGTGAGAACATTGCCCATAACAAGCCCATAACCAATGTAAAGACAGAAGTATTTTATCCCAGGAAATCTCGACAAAAATAAAAAGAACAAGTCGCCGTGATGAAGAAAAACAATGTATTGTCTTAAGTCGTCGTGACAAGGAATACTTCAAGAAGCTTAAATCAAAAGTGGAAATAATCACAGACAGACATAGAAGGCGTGTCAGCAAAAAGGTTTATTAACATGAGGAAAAGCTCATGAAAATTGGTTTTAACTGTAGGTACTGAGCCGTGTACTCTAAACTGGTTTTTTTTTAATTTCGACTCAAGTTTTTCGGAATTAACATCCGAAAGTTACGACAACTTTCAAACTTCGCAAGGGTAGCTCTGCTATGAATGCTGGGCAAAATATGTGCTATGTTATGTCTTAATTAAAATGTAAATAACAAAAAGCTTTAAGTTTTTTTAAGTATATATCTAATATACGAAATACTTTCAATATATTCATTTATTAAAACACAAAATATATGGTATTTGACCTCAATTATTTAAAATAATTATACAACCTAAATTACAATCATTATTATCACTAATGTAACACCACGAAAGTATTTGAAATGTCTATTACGAAAAGCATTATAGTCGTCACAATGAAGATTGACAGTTGTAACTTAGAATGCAATCAACAAAACAGTTATTTTACCAAACAATTCGACTCACCCGTAGAACAAATATCTAAATTCAAGACTACTTGTTCTCAGAACATAGTATGTTTCGTTCGTTCGCTATGGATGTCAGATCGACCGTTGTTCATTTTACATTTCAAAACGAAATAAGATATATAAATTCTCAAAACACCTTTACATAGGCCATGGTTTGAATAACGAAATTGTTTCTTTTTTTTATCTTTTCACTATGTAATCACATTGAACTCTGTTCTTCAGATGAGTCGAATTATTAACTTATTGGTTTTAAAAACATACATTAATTTTAGTGAAGCACTGTACATATGATAGAACATAAATTCAAGTATTATTTTCTCACAAATTCGATATAAAAACCAATTTTGAGTCATTCCGAAATGTCCTAAAAACAGGTACATTCTCAATTTTTTTTTTTAATAATGGTGTTGTAACCAATTGATTACTTTTCCTTAACCCTAACGAAACTTAATTATGGAGAAAATTCGAAAATGATTATTAATATTACTGAACCTACTTAAAAGATGCATAATGCGAATGAAGCTTCATACTTGACACTGTCATTGTTTCGGTCGGACGTCCAACGGAGGCTTAGAGGAAGGATGAAGCACGAGAGTGAACTCCTTGACACTGGCCCAAGCCTTTATTTTTTTTTTTTATGTTTATTTCTTTTTTACATGTACTTAAAATTAGAGTTTACAATTGGGTCTTCCTTTTAGGTATCATCTACCTGTATTAGGAAGGCCCGCTCTTCCATTGTACTTTAATCTTAATAATATTTCTTCTTAATAATAATCTTTATGGAAATAATAATAATTATTATCATACTTGTATGTTATTAATGTACTATGAGTTTGCACTGTCTCACTAGTATTTACAAATATAAACTCTCAAACACATAATTCAATCCAAAGTGCATTTTTATTCTCAAAGGGCTAGAACACAAAAATATTCTTGTTATTGAAGAAAACCTTTTTCCCAGTCTTATAAATTTAAAATTTTAACAACAACTTATGGAAATAACGTTTAGTATATTATAATAGTTTCAAAATTGCATAATAGATTTTGATCAATCAAAACATTGTTTAAAAAGCGAAGGACATTTAATACTGAAAATGCAAGGTGGATTATGTGCCCGCGAGTGTAGATAGACATTGTAGAACCATTCAAATTCAGTCATACTGCATATGATAAGAAATTATAAACAACTAAGTATTATTCTGCATTGGTTTTGTATTTCTAACTACGTCATACATTGGCCTCTAGTATCAGTCCACAGGGTCATTGTGACAGCAAAACAAAATAGATATGGATATTATCTATTAGTTCATACGCATTATAAATCTGTTGTATCAATTAAACTAATCCATACTTGGTATAAACGGCTGGCGTCCACAACTCAACGTCAAAGCGCCTATGGTGTACTTTAGCCGTAGCCGTCGGACCTTTTTCTTCTCATTACAGCCATGGTCATGCAATGAGAAGAAAAAAGGTCCGAAGATTTTATTTGGGACGTTATAGTCAAGTTGGCATGCATGCAATCATACTATTTACGTGAAAGGGATAAAAAAAAAATTTTTACGTATTTCATTTGTTGTTATAAGTCCGATCACTAACTGCAACATGATCTCACCTTTTTGTCAAAAACTGAAACAAAAGTAACTTTTTTCGTCAAGATTGTACGTTAGGGATCGAGAATAAGGAGATATGTTAATGTTTTAATTTCCAAAAATAAAATGATTAATAAAGTAACTTTTCTAATATAACAGCATGCGATTGCGGCTCAAAGGCAGTTGGGTGCGCTCCGGACACAGGCAAGTGCTTCTGCAACACCAAGGGCTATGTGGGAGACCGATGCGACGAGTGTGACAACAGGAATCATTACTACGCCGATGTACACAATAAGGCCTGCTACTGTGAGTCATTCTTCCCACAATTTGGGTATAGCATAGAAATTACACGCTAGACCGATGTGTGATCAATCATCTCAATTCCTCCCCATCTTGACACCCCTTCGGCCATTAAGTACTGTGGCGACAGCGTTTTTTTTGTGATACACGAACAAGTCGTGCCCCTGGTGGTAAGCGACTTGCCTGTCCCATAGCAATTACAGTGCCATTCGGGGCTTTAAATCATAAAGATCTGAAGAACACCGCAACTGCGCCCGTCACCCTGAGGCATAAATTAACAAGTCCCATGTGCCTGTAGTTTCACCAACACCCTTACACCAAAACGAAACGCAGTAATGCTCGTATTATTGGTTGGTTGATGGCCGAAATAAAAACCAAATTTTTTAAGTGCTCCACAGAATTATGTTTCTTTGAGTTGTACGCAAGGTATACCCCGTCGGCCTCTAGGATTGCATCTTAGGGCGCGTTCCCATTATGTCGTGACGACAGATAGTCGTGCAGTTTAAGGTGTCGTGACTTGTATATTTAAATGAAGTTGCTTACTTATAGTAAAACACGATTAACTGTCGTTCGTGACTTTTTTGACGTTACAACGACAGACTGTCGTGGTAATGAGAAGAGCTAGAACGACAGTCGTTTAAAATGTCACGATAAAAATGTGACAGCAAATAATCGTAGCTTCAAACGATTCTGTCGTGCAAACGACTAGACATCTAGAATCGTCGTCACGGTCTAGTGGAAACAGCTAGACACGACAGTCAATCAACGATAAAATAAACGTTCAAGAGACGCAGTCACGACAGATAGTCGTGATAAAGGGATTAGACTAGACTAGACTTAATTTTACATTGCTATATTGCAATGTAAAATACAAAATAAAAACCTATCTATTAAAATATTCCATCAAATAATATCAAACACGTAATTGATTTTTATAAAATAAATAAATGAAAGAGTTGTTTTAAAATTTGATTGACAGGCAATATGAATATCATGGTGGTCAAACATCCTGACATTCAATAAAAAAACTTAATTACAATTATTAAAGTGACATCTTTAGTCAGCGGCTGGTAGCTGTAAAGGTACGTCGCTAAGCAAACAAAAACTTTCATAGATTTCTCACAGATGAACCTACGGCAAAGAAGTCGATAAAGATCTGAAACAAACACATGGAAAAATTCGTGAGGTCCATTGCTTCGTTCCGTCGTCGCTTAGTTGGCATAGCGCAGCTTTTTACTTTTCACTTTTTATTTTTATGGCTCCATCATTACGTAGAATGATGATTTTGTGTCATGTCACGGTGGAAAGAAAAATTATCAAAAAAAAATAACCACAGATCTATTAGACGTTAACCGGTGTTGAGGTGTTGATGGATTGTACAAGTGAGAATCTAAAACAAAAGACGGCACAAACATGTAACACGGACTTATAGGTATATATTATTTAACTACTACTGTACTTAGGGTAGAAATATAATAGGGGAAACACAAAAGCTAAAAGATTATTTATGTTAGTGGGGCGGGGGAATTTATTTATTTATTTATTTATTTATTTATTTGCATATACACGTTATACAATTTTGGAAGAAGTAAGTTATAAAGTGGAACAGCAATATTAGGGCAATTGAAAAAGAATGTGTTCCAAGCTACCGTCTCGTCTAGACCGCACTCGCACAGAGAGTGATCTCGGACTCGTGATTTTACGCAAAAATACAGGGGTGCAAACATAGCCTAAGCGCAAACGTATAATGGTGGAAGTGATGGCGTAGCGTCTAGCACGGTTTGCTGGGAGACGTTGGTTCGAATCCAACCGGATTGAAGTGAATTTTTTTAAATAAAAAAAGTTTAGTGGCAGTAGAACTCCTTGTGAAAGAGTTCGTCCAGAGAAGTACTGCCACCTTACCTATTTTTGCCGCCAAGCAATAATGTCAGCATTACTGCGTTCCGGTTTTGAAAAGTAAGGGTGCTGGTCAAATTACAAGCACATGAGTCTTATCAACTTATGTCTCAGGGTGACGGGCGCAGTGGCAGTGCCCTTCAGATCTTTACGATTTAAAGCTTTGAATGTCACTGCAACTGTTATGGACAAGCGTGTAGCTTACCATCAGGCGCACGACTTGTTTGTCCCTTCACTTGATGTTATAAAAAAAGATCAGATTTTTTCTAAATGTCCGATTTTTGTTTAATAATTATAACAAGCCTGAGTGGCATCATCAAAATATGCACCATTTTCTTTCACAGATGAACTAGCAGTAGACTACCAATACACGTTTAATCTGTCAAAAAAGGAAGACCGACACTTATCCGCAATCAATTTCCGCAACGCGCCCGTGAAGCCGGACGTAGACGCGGACTTCAACATCACGTGCTCGTCTCACGCGCGGATGAACCTCACCGTGCGGACGAAAGGAGATCCCACTGAGCGGACTCTGTTGAGTAATGTGAACTGCACTCATTTTAAATACAAGTGAGATTTTGTTCTTTTTTAACTAGATGGAATAGAGATTGTTTTGTCATCAAAAAGATCTGAACTTGTGATCATTTTTATACATAAGTTCAGAATTGCAGAATTTGACATAAGTAATACTACAGACAATCATCATCACATAAAAAACCAATCATCATCTTCAACTCGACTGGTCACCTCAGTAGTGTCGGCCGTAACTCATCTGTGTTGTCGCCACTTCATCTTCTCTCACGTCCCGCAAACAATATGAATAAAATAATAACAGGTGGAGAAAATTTAACACAGATCTGACGTCGACAAGCGTCCGATGGTAACTGATGGGGCAGTGGGCGGCGCGGTGTGTCGTTAAACCGCTAGGCAATTTACAAATTTTGGGATAAATGTGAATTTAATAACTACAAGGCTTCAGTTGAAAACCAAAATTGAATAGGTCCTCTGTAGTACTTGAAAAGAAATATATCCTTATACAAATTACGTAAACGTTAATATTTTATGCCTAAATTATTCGTTCTAGACTTTTATTGTAGCCTGAACCATTGACTTACTCTCGATCTCCGTCCGAAACAATTACTATCAAATAAGTACTACTCTACCAGATTGAAGTTTCATAGTTTTAGTTTTCAGGTGGTTTTATGATCGGATAGAGTACACGTACAACGAATTAACACATTCTTTAGAAAATATCCTTAGGTGTATCGTATATTTAGGCCGTTATTCAATTGTAAATACCTAATTATTTGATAAAGCAATACAGTTTCTCACCCTAAAATAATAAATAAATAAACTGAAACTTGAAATAATTTCCATATGAGTAACCCCCACCTTTTAACCACAGGTTCACTAAATCGGAGCACGCGTTCGGCAGTGAAGACAACGTGACGCTGACCACGTTCTTCGTCTACGTTTACGACTTCAAACCGCCACTATGGATACAGGTTTCGTTCGCGCAATACCCGAAATTGAATGTAGAACAACTCATCACAACTCTCGGGACGTTATCGGTATTACAAGGACTAAGGGGCGGGCAATGAAATCTTACATGCACTGTATTTTATTTAATAAAGTACAAAGAACAGCTTGCTGGATTTTATACTTTGGCCTTTGAGCCGTCTTCGCACACACTCCACATAGCCCCGCACTAGGTTGACCCTGTGTCGCGAATACCATAGACACCTACAAAGACAATCACTCATTACACCCAAACTCACCAGAGAAATAAATGCAGGTCATGCAAATATATCTCCCGGCCCGGAAATCGAACCTGGGCCCTCTGTATGGCAGTCCTGCATAGTAACCGTTCGGCCACGGAGACAATTAAGAAGCTTCTCTTTCTTATCGTACAAAACTTAAGTCTATAAAGAAAGAGAGAAAGAAAGATAAACATTTATTCATGAAATTGAGTCACTATACACTCTTAAATCTAATACTTAACACTAAAACAACAAATGGCTGCGTGATTTTAAGTTAGTAAGTGTGTATAGTGGCGCAAAAGAAGAAAAGCATACGACTCAGCAATATTCCTGTCTCAGGCGAGACATACGCTGATTTTCAGTCGTTGGTGTTTCAGCGTCGGCTGAGACCTAAGGAAATGGTACATGCTCTGTGTATCCTCTGTTTTATGCCACACTACACATTTACAATACACGTGTGCTACATGTATACTATATTATATAAAAGCTACAAGTAAACATACATAAATATAAATCGGTTAGAAGACAAGAGTTAGGAACATCCGGCATCAGAGCATACGCTGGTTTTCCATCAATTGATTTTTCATACGTTTTCTAAATGCGGATTTTGAGATAGTGCACACAATGATCGTTGTAAGGACAACAACCTTACTCATTAATATAAATCTATGAAATAAATTTTGTAGCAGTTGAGGTAAAAAATTTGGTGTGGTCAACATCAAAATACACTTTTTTATGATACCTGGTGACAAGACGAACAATCGCACGCCTGTCCATAACAGTTGCAGTGCCATTCAGAGCTTTAAATCACAAAGATCTGAGGGGCACTGCCACTGCGTCCGTCACCCTGAGACATAAATCGACAAGTCTCTGTAATTTCATTTCACCAGCACCCTTACCCCACAAAACCGGAACGCAGTAAGGTTCACATTGCGGCTAAAACACATCACACATCTATACATCGTCAAATGAAGTGTCACAGTCACAGGGATTATCCTAATTTGCGTTTAGTATAATAATAAATAAATGTATTTTAATTTGTTGTTGGTTAATATGTATTCTATATCCTAAGATTAAGGGACATTAAAATTGAATTTTATAGATGCAATTGTCGGTTTATTGTAATACCTCTAGTTTTCAACGTTGTGAAAATGGAACATGATAATGTTATTACGTATAAAATCATAACATTTTATTATAATTTAAAAAATTCCCACCGTCAATATAAGCTAATCCTCCCTGAACCCAAACTAGAAATGTTTAAATAAGGTCCTTTGTATAGTTCAATTTTAATCTATAATAAACTCCCAGTGTTTATTAGACAAGAGGGTAACATTAATGCATTTAACAAGCCTGTCGGCGGTTTAGGGCCACAATAACAAATGACAACATCTTCAAATAACCACTTCTACAAATGACCACTTCTTGAAACTACCATTTCTTTAAATGCTACTTCTACAAAAGAACACTTCTTGAAATGGCTAGTTCTTGCATTGACCACTTTTACAATTCAATTTATTTCGGCTTCGGATTAGGAACATTACCACAAGTTTGACGATGGACCTCTAAGTATATATATTGCTTGTTATCGCCCTGGAGGGTAACATCCCTCCGTTTATCGCAACTGGATTTCGCAACCGTTTGACAAAAACAGGCAAATAAAACATTTCAAATAAGTTTTTATTCAATACAACTTTGTGTAGGTGAAGGAAAAAAAATGGCATATCTAGGCATGGTCCTGAAATCTCCATGGCAAAACGGTTTAAAAATAGTGAAAAACCAATTTCTAATTAAAAAATAAAGTGATCAATTCAAGAAATGGTAAATTTGAGAAATTGTCTTTTTTAATTGTGGTCTTTTCTTATTGTGGCCCTAAACCGCCGAAAGGATTTCAAGTGGCTAAGAGTCGTATTCTAGAACTCTATTCAATGCTCAAGTCAGGATTGCACTGGAAATACGACCCTAATGGCAGGGACTTGAGTATGATATCAAGTGCTTTAAACCATACTCAAATCCTAACTTGAGCATGGAGTAGAGTTCTAGAATACGACCCTAAGGATCGTATTCTAGAACTCTACTCAATGCTCAAGTCAGGATTTGAGTATGGTTTAAAGCACTCAAAATCATACTCAAGTCCCTGCCATTAGGGTCGTATTTCCAGTGCTTGTGTTTCCAGTGCAATCCTGACTTGAGCATTGAGTAGAGTTCTAGAATACGACCCTAAGGGTCGTATTCCAGAACTGTACTCAATGCTCAAGTCAGGTTTTGAGCAGACTTGAGTATGATTTCAAGCACTGGAAATACGACCCTAATGGCAAGGACTTGAGTATGATTTCTAGTGCTTTGAATCATACTCAAGTCCTGACCTTAGCACTGAGTAGAGTTCTAGAATACGACCCTAGACTAAGAAAATGCATAGAATTTTTAACTTGTTTAATACTTGGGACGACATCTATCGGGAGGTGTGAAATACTTTGCCGAATAAGTGATTAGATACATCTATAGACCTGAAAAGAGGGCGCGCTTTGTGATTGTTGATCTCATAACACTGTAACCTATTTTTTTATGGTACTTAAGCTCGAGCTATAGTATTTTTATCATAATCGTTAATAATTAGAAAAAGAATATTTTATGTTTGTGTGGAATGTGAATTAATTTAACATTTATTTGATTTCTGTGGTCACCAAAATATTTTTAGCGGCAACACCTAAATGTCAAAACAAAATTGCCAATTTAAAAAATATTCCCGATAAATGAACACTATTTCAAGTTTACTTAAACTTTAAGAATAAAATTTGAAAACTATTCCTAACTTCAATAGTATTTAGTACTCTAATTTCTTTATTATAATTTGATTTCGTAATTTACAATAGCTACTTAAAATGAATCGAAGTAAATCAATGTGTCTCGCGTACGTAATTTCAACGTTATTAAATAAGCATGTTTTGAAACGAAAAATGGTGGCTATTGATAACTTTTCACGTCAACGTTTATTGTTAGTAGTTGATTTATGGAAAATTATTCAAATTCCTTTCATCTTGACAAGACGTAACCAGCAAACTTGAATAATCACAATGTAGGGTACTGTTAACTCTTAGTGTGACAATCCGAAATTTAGTACCGTTCAAAATTTGTAAGACGTCTCCCAGCTTCACGTTTTGAGCTACCAAAACTCGTTGAAAATGCATTCATCAAAATGGTAGAATCGTTGCAAATGTTCTTATTTCTTTTCAAATCAAAGTACAGACGAAAATGGTCGTGGTTCTCGCCGTTTCTGTGTTCAGTTTTAATAGTGTTATTGTTTTGTGACGGTGCCCACAGTAAGTGTAATGAAGAGAATTGTATAAACGGTGTTTGTAATAATGAGACTTGTGTATGTTTTGAGGGCTGGCAAGGTCCAGAGTGCCAGTACTGTGCCGGGAAAGTCAAGTGAGTGCAACGTAGCTTATGCCCAAAAAATGTACACCACTAGAGCAATGACCTATTTGACAGATCGTTTTAATGTTTTCGCTAGAGAAATCAGTCAGATTATCCAATTATACGCTTTGGCTTCTTTTTCTAAGCCTATTCACTCATAACATTACCCTTTGTACGATATACATACACTACATTATTCTTCTCTTACCTTTGCTGACTGTTTTTCGTAAATTTTGGTTTGCCTTCGCAAAGTACAGTTACAAAACAGTAAAGTGTTTTGTTTTTTGATAAATCGAACTATTTTTGCACACTGAGAACATTAACTCACTGCTCTTAATTTAAATTTAAACCAGCGAATGGATATTATACATTTGTGTTCAAAAAATCCAGGAAATTCACATAACCTATGAAACAATCACGAAACAAATGTTACAAACAAACATAACCATGGTTTCCTGTGGCTTCGAACATTATGTGCAAATTTCCAAACTGACTACAAGAAGCCCTAAATTAAACAGGATATCCGTAAGGCAATATTGATGGCATCTACAAATACTATTCTAATAACAAATAAATTTGAACTACCTCAATTGTATTATTAAAGTATTGCTACCTTTTATCATCCATGAAGTATTTTTCTGAAATTTACTAGGGTTCTATACTGTTTGGATGTTTAAACAGATCTGCACTCTATCTTCAAGTTTAATGCACTATTCTGAGATATATATTACGATGTTGCTTTCTCTTTCACACCACACAGATGAAAAATACGCTTTCTTCTCTCCTCCAAAAATTATATGAGTTTTTAGATATTTTGCTATAGAGCATAAGTACTCTAGTGAAAGTGCGGTAGAACATTAATTCTTAATCTGGACTCTGTAGACCCTTTATAAAAATTTCAGTACGTCCAGAAGTTTTGTTTATAAAGTTGAGTAACATTTTTCTTTAATTCTGAAGGGTTCTGGGTGTAGTTGGTAAACACTGTCAGAGACCTAATTAAGCGCATTAACAACTGTCAATTGAAGTGTAAACACCTTTTTCAAACACTTCTGGGACGTGCAGCCCCTTATAATTATTCAACTTTCATATTTACCACAGTACCGCACTGGTATATTCTATATAAAGTGTTATCCGTTACACTGGTACAATGCTGATTACTACTGACTACCCTAAGATACCTGGCCCCTTAACCCGCTATTTGGTTCTGAGTAAAAAGGTTTTAAACAAACAACCTTTTACTTGTGCGTCATAAAATTCAAATTATTTAAATTATATTAAAAATTATGTTTTAAGAAACTTTTGAAATAAATTTGACCTTTAATTATGTTACATAAATATGTACAAATTTTAACCAAAAAGCTGACATGTGTTACCCTTTTTTGTTGAATGCGTAGAAGTAGTCAGACAGGGCATCAACTGTACTTTTCACCTTTCATCTAAGCCTCTTGTACATGCAGTGATTCTGACAAACTTAATAAAAATCATGATTATAAAAGCAAATAATCTTTTATAATACATACTCTGGAGTGATGATTCCCGAAGGGGTCCATATAGGTGTCCACTCTAACCTACAAGGGGTCCAAATGAAAAAATAGCAGGTGCATAAGATGTTAATTGTGGTCCAAGAAAGTGGACCTAATTTGGGCAGATTGTCAAAATTTTGGCTTTCCGTAAACCTATTTACTGACATAATACTTTCTTATACCAAATAAGATAGGTATTTATTGTTATTCGTAAATGTATAAAGCTTATACCAAATAAGATAGGTATTTATTGTTATTCATAAATGTATAAAGCTTAACTAATGTGTTGTTGTTGTTTTTTATATATATTCTCAATTGTTTAATTCACTGTGTTGGTTTTAAATAGCACATTTGAAGTTGAAGAATATGTATAAAAATCTGTATGGCAAAAGTGTCCAGAAAATAGAAAAAAATAGCATGAGATCATGAAGACAAAAAAGTTTGGGAACCTTGGCTCTAGCAAATTCTTGGTATCTGAGGTTTTTAAGCATTTTTAAGCAACATACTAGTACAATAATGCCTACTGTAGATTTTTCAATCTCTCTAATACCTCATAAACATTGTACATAAAACCATTCAAATTTAGTTAGTATCCACTGCAAATGATAATAAATAACAAATTAAAAACAATTATTTTTCAGCTTTGTTGCGTTTTATTTGTAAATAGACATGTAAAGTTACATCTCATTTAGAAACAAAACATTTCTTGTTACAAAATGTACCTACTGAATACATATTTTTAGCCTAGTAGTAATGAAAATCGTCATTATCGACTACAAGGTAGCTGAACAGAGGCCTCTGCAATAGGTCAACACTATTCACAGGAAGGAGAAAACAACTAACATTTTGGCAAAACAAAAAACATAAACGGGACCTAAACAATTTATAATATATTTTAAATCACAAACATATGTTTCAACATGTATTATTATGCACAGTATACTGTGCTATATAATCCTGATAATAAGGTTTGCCCGTTGCCTTGAAAATCACACAATGAAGACATGTATGTATTGTCATTTAAAGTAAGCTAAATTGACTCAATGAATGTTGCATGTATTTTGTTGTAAAATATTAAATATCTATTAGGTTAGTGAGTATTGATATTTCTCAATATATGGCATTGAACACATTTTCTGTTTTATAAGAATAAATGAAATAGTTTTTAATAAAACAGAAACTGCTTACAAGACAATTTATTTTTCTACGATTCTTTTAATTTTTTCTGAAACTGTCTTATAGCTGGGCCAAAACCTCTCCTATTCCCTCCATTTCCCTGTATTTAGGGCACTTCTGTATTCATTATTAACAAAATTCTATAAGGGCCGAACCGTGTAGCTTGAAAACCAGTAATTGAAATGCCAAATCTAAATAACAACTTCTAAAATCCAGTCTCTGAGTTTCAAAACTTTCAAGTACTACAAAATGAATTTCGACATGTCTTGTCATTTCACCTCAATGGGCCGTCAAAATTGACAGTTAAGGGGCAGTTTTTTTCGACCTCCACTTCATTTACCTTACTGTGCTAAAAATTTGTATTCTTGTCGAATACTGGTAGATTTTAAGTATTTACAATCTTTAAGGCTTCAATAATTGATATTCTTCATTACGAAAATGATGATTATTGCAGAATAACGAATGTTAATTTTATTAGTGTACTGTTTCAAAAAGATATAAAATTTCATTTGATGGCCAATAAACGCATCATTACTGTTATTAGAAACCATGCCTTAAAGTAGTGCCACCCCACAATTTGACATGGTATTACAGACACCAGCTAATACTTTCAGTGCAACTTACAACCTGGTAGATGCACTATAATCAATCTTAGAAATTTTGTAGCAATAGAGCTTCTTGTGAATGAGTTTGTCCAGGAAATACTGCCACCTTTCTTATTTCTGCTGACAAGCAGTAATATAACTGCGTTTTGGTTTTGAAAGGTTTGCTGGTGAAATTACAGACACATGGGACTTGTCAACTTATGTCTCAGGGCGTGGTGGCAGCACCTTTGCACGGCAGCACAGCCACTATTATGGCGAGGCGTGTCGTTTAACAGCAGGCGTACGACTTGTTCGTTCCGTCGCATAGTATCATAAAAAAAGATAAATTGGCCATAATTGGTACTTTTTTCAAAGGGGATTATTAAATTGCTAAAAGTAGAAATTCGTTTATGGCATTTCATTACTCATAATTTAAGTATAACTACAATTGTAATTAATAAATAATAAATATTGGACAACATCACATACATTGCTCTGATCCCAAAGTAAGTAGTTAAAGCACTTATTAATGGAATTCAGAAACAACGATGGTACCACAAACACCAACACCCGAGACAATATAGAAAAGTTCTACACTGATCAAACCCGGGACCTCAGAGATGGCGGTGAGAAAACCGGTGTGCATATAAAATGACCATTTTGTGGACTAAAATGCATTGATAGGTGTTGCGTAATTGGAATAAAAATAAAGACTGACTAATTAAATTTTTTTAAATTGTCAAGATCAAAGTAATCTATCTCTTAATAGGCCACATGTGACCATATTAAAGTATAATGTAATTTTATAAATTTGGTTGATACAGTGAAGAGCACAACGCGCTCTTATTGCATCTTTTGGATATATCTGCAAAAGAATCGCTTTGCCAGCTGAAGACACACGAAATTGGCCTACCTGATATTTTTAAATGGTTGTAATACTTTCGCGGGCTTTGGGCACAACAATTCACGAAAGTTTTCTCTATCAAATTGTGTCAATAATACTGGAATGCACATAGAAGAAACATACTAACATTCATTTTGAAATATACTGGGTTATTTGTAAAATACTAACAACCTCACAGGACTATATTACTAACATCATAAACAACAACTTTTATTCCATGACTTAATTTTATCATCAGATTTTACTTTTGTATAAAGATAAAAATATTTCAATGGACCACTCTAAATGGTGATAACTCTGTGCAGTAGCAAAGAAAGCACCAACCACCAAAATTAATTTTATGAATGACAACATGCAGTAGGCTAAAAATACATGTCTAAAAAGTGTAATATTAATATTGTTTGTAATTTAGTCCTGTAATGTTGTTAATATTTTATAAATAACTCTGATATAATATTCATTGTATTAATTCTGTGGTGTAAAAAATTCAATTGCTAATTAATTTTTTGATGTTTTGTTATACAATATTTGTGTATAAATGGCGAAATTAAAATTGGGTAATTTGCATATTTACAATAAAACCCAAAAGTTCCGTTGTTGTTATCAAGAAGCCAAACTGAAATACCCATGGATATGGAATCATTCTCTGTTTTGTAAAATTCCGATTTACTATAATAACAATGTATGTTCTACTATTCTACATTGATACAATATAATGTAATATTAATGAAGAATTAACTGTACTGATAAATTGTAAATTGTTTAGATTTTTTCATTAATAAAAATAACAACAATTCTTGCTTCCGTAATAAATAAAAGTTAATA